GTGTTCCACGCGCGCCTTTCAAGGAAGGAAATCGCAGTTTTTGAGGGCTGCTACGTGGTGGGACCTGCCGCAATATAGCGGTAGGTCGAGGCCTGCCGGTGAATCCGCAAGGGCGTCCCTCCAGGGTCACAGCCACATGCAGAGGAGGAACACCGCGGTGGTTTTAGGCGGTAAGAGTCCGGCACACCCCCCCGTCGTCCCCACGGCGTGGGAGAGTCCATGAGGATTTCCATCGCGTAATAAAAAAAACCTATAAATAGAGGGTGCTGCTATAATCATGTAGTCATTACTCTTAATAATTTCTCCTTTATATTTACCGTAAATATAGAACCTATACAATAATTTATATTCAACCAACGTTTAGAAACAAATCTCCCACTTTGTCAGCGCCCGCAAATAAAGCGTATGACAAAATAAAACATTACGGCATTAAAATAATACATTCATTTGTGACATGAAAAGAAGCTGCGCTAAAAAATGTGGCATTATTTCATTATGTTGGCAAAATGAACGCGGGACCCATGTTACATGTATCAGTTACCGACCACGAACCCTTTGTTCGTTAGGAGAGCAAAACATAATTAGGGGTTTCATAATATTTATTTATGATGCGGATTTTTTTCTTGATTTTATAAATTCTTTCCAGGTTTGTCTCTCTACCAATATCATGCAGTATGGAATAGTCCTCGGTGCAAAATAGAATCGGCCCCAATTACAAGGAACTTGTAACCGAAGTGTGTAAAGGGAAGGCGTTATTAATGGGAAAATAGTTATGGGAATGACTCAAAGCTATAAACTGAGTTATTAAGTAATGCCACGCTGTCTGATGAATTTATTTTCATCTTTATTTTTTTGTAATGACATCTAACTTCATGTACTGGAATAGGAAGGATGACTTCATGTACTGGAATATACTCTTTCTACTCCGTCGAGTCAGTCTTCATGCTCCTGTCGTATAAGAAATCCTAAAAGGTTGCGCTTAGGGATTCTCTTGTCGATCTTTATTACTGACCCACAAACAAGATCTCTCTAAGCGCAACCCTACTGAGGTTACTGTAATATTTATAAAAGAACTGACGACAGACCGGAATGGAATATCATACTTTAAACCAAATAAATAAAACCTTTCGTTAATGTGATATGAAAGGCAACAACCAACGAAACTGTCATCGCAAATTGCGAATATAATTAAATATAAATAATTTATAAAATTTCACATTTTCGCCGGAAAGACAGACAATTTTACGCATGTGTGTTCAAATTACAGACGAATAAGTCCTGTTTACTGAATTAAGCTGTAGAGAACAGACGCGCGGACATGGACGGTGAGCCGGTTCGTTAATAATGTTGACCAACCCCTATTATTAATGTAATAAGTGTTGTTTTACATTGTAGTTATATTCGTATATCTTTTTATTACTGCAGGTATGTTAAATTTATTGTAAGCCACGTTTTAAATAGATCTTGTATTTGTTTGTTTCAAATAATGACTCCTAATTTTTAAAGTACAACGACTTTTTTTACAAGATTTGCAAATAAAGGGTGGAGAGTGTATTTTATTAAATATTTCAAATCTTATGAAACTTTAAGTCCTTTCTTTATTTTCGTATTTTCAAGTTAAACGTCTTTTGTTGTTCTTAGAATATTTAAATTTAGTTTGTAATGTTATCAATTTACATAATTTTGCTAGTGTGAGCTGTGACGCGATTAGGCTCTAGCGCCTAGAGTAGATGGAGTCTTTAAAAGTCGTTCCATAAAATCGACCAATTACGAACGATCGCCGGCAGATTTATGGTTTTACCAGCGAATATAGTCAGTGGTCGGGGTACAGACGTCCAACAAAATCCTTTTGCAGGTTTATCGCGTGTAAAATCGACCCTCGCCGTTGGTTTGCTTGCGGATTAAGTGAGGTTAAGCAGCCGAGTTCTGTGTTTAAGACCGTGCCCACGCGTAAAGAAAACGAAAATATTTTTTCTTGACGTTTCATAGCACAAAGTCATTCGGAATCCAGATTTCATGTTCCGTTTTATTATTCAGTTCGATTTGTGTGTGTAAACACGTCCCTTTTTGTCGACGAGAGTTATTATTCTTCAAGATTTACAGCAAACATAACGTGTTTTATGCTTTAGCTTTTGGAGTGACTGCAAAAAATATCCAACGTATGTTGCTACTTTTATTATCATACTCAGTAGTGTAATGAGTATATTTAGGTAACTTGTTTGATTTAGCTGGTTTTGACACTGGTACACGATTGCTTCATTGTCATGACGTATGTTTAAAAATACATGATGGAAAATCTTTGTATGCACCTACGTTTAAAAGCTAGAAGTCGTCAAAAATTTTACAATTACAATTTATTTTACGAAACATAACATAACATCCCGCCTTTTATCTCCGAAAGGGTTTTTTTTTTAAGGGGGGAAAATCATCAAATGGCTATTCCCGCCTGGGTGAGGCGGAAGGGAGTGTCAGACTCTTACTGACTAAAAACCACCCCGTTCCTTCTCCTGCACGTCGAGCCGGAGCCCCGGTTACCCGTTAGGTTCTCCGCGACATCTCCGAAGGGGTAGGCAGAGGTGCACATAATGCCACTGTACAATGTAACACCCACTTTTCCCTATTTATGTTATGAGTTCCATGTAATAGGGGGTGAGCCTATTGCCATATATCGAGCATTTTTTTATTATTTTATTTTACGAATCCACACAAATCCTATAAAATTATATCTGAATTGATATAACGTTGTAAATCATATTTTGTCAATACGAAATTGGAGTACAAAACCCTTAATCACGACTTTACTCATAGGTACACTTCCTCAAAGATTACATAATTAAACAGCTAAGCTGCATTTCATTGAGTCCTTTATCCTTATTGTTGATTCGCTTATAACCGTAAAGGGAATGTATCTCTATATGTATAGGAGTAAGATGTTTTGTGTCGAGAAACGGATGGGAATAGGCCTCGTGGTTGCTGTGTTGTCTTGATAAGAAAAGGTTATGGGTATGGCTGACGGGTCTCCCCGGGGCCCGAGTGAGTTGAACATGTCTATACCATTTTCCCTAGAGTCACTTTTAATCTGCGTTCTAGTTTATTGTCAGTATTGTAACACGAGAGCTTCGTGTTTTGATTTGTTTGGTAATATTGTTGAGTGACATGTGATATTTAGAATTGTGACTCGATTATTATTTTTGTGGGTTCTTCTTGAATTGATATTTTAGAAGAACTAAGAATAATTGTAAGTCTTACATACCGCATTAGACTTATTCTTCATTAGAATTTTAATATCGTCAAAATATTTAGATGTAGATATGTGGAATATTTGCCAATACAATTTGATGTTCTCACTTTGACATTATTTCAAAAGTGTTGTTTATTTTATATGAACATATACGTAAAAAGTCTTAGAAAGCTATAGAAGACAGACTGAGACAAAGAAACTCGTACCTCTTGCTCTAGAGATTTCCAGTTGAGGTACAAGACGTAAATCAGTCTGAATAATGGGACTCCGTTTTGGTTTCGTCCAGTAAAGTGCACTTCTTGAAATTACTTCGACAAAAGTACAAGCACTTACTTGTATTTTTTCTAGTAATAGTTTTAGTATCTTTAGTACCGTTTCCCACTAGGAAAAGGTTGGAACAAAGGAGTTTCGAGTTAAGTAAGTAGATATTCACGTCGGACGTTCAAGTCGACACCTTTTTACGAGATTGGCCGAAGGTGTACTCGGGCTGTGTAAACATGTACCGATGTGTTGGGATAATGTATGTACTGTCTTGTAGGTCATGGTATTATGTCATTTATTAGTGACATTTTGTTAGTGCTTTATTAAATTTTAAACATATTGTCATATTTTTGTTAGCACCTTTTATTCTATACTAGCTTCTGCCAGCAGCTTCGCCCGCGGTCCCAGGGGTAAAATGCCTATGTATCACTTCAGACCATAATCTACATCTGTTCCGAATTTTATTCCGGTCCCTTCAGTCGTTTTAATATGACTGAGTAACAAACATACACATAAACTCACATATTTTCATTTATAATATCGAGTCAAGCTAATTTCAACCATTGGCCTTTCAGTTACAGCGTAAAGTCTATGAATGAGTATTGTAAACGTTAGAGTAGACAAATACAATCAGAAATCACCGAATTGCTAAGCTATCTGGAGTTTCACGTGTTATTGTGAGTCAACCATAAAAGATAGACATATGCTGTCGAGGAATATTTTTTATATAATTTTAAGGAGAATATTTCCGTCATAAATGATTTCTATGCAGCTTTAACCTATAAGCTTGCACACGCGACGGAAGTTTAAAAAATGGAGTATCTTCTCCCGTTTTCCCAATATTTCCCTTCACTGCTCTGCTCCTATTGATCGTAGCGTAATGAAAAGTATACTATAACCTGCCCAAGAGTATGAAGAATAATTGTGCCAAATTTCGTTAAAATCCATCGAGTAGTTTTTGTTTCCATAACGAACATACAGACAGACAGACAGACAGACAAAAATTTTACTGATTGCATTTTTGGCATCAGTAGCGATCCCTAACCACCCCTTGATAGTTATTTTTTAAATATATTTTATGTACAGAATTTACCTCTCTACAGATTTATTATAAGTATAGAAGATAGATTACGTTCTACGTTCGACTAATTTTTTTCATATACTTTAATGTAGAGGTAATTAAAATTTAAGAATTTTGAATTATGAGATTATTTTTTTTACAAAAATACACCATCAGTGACGTCGAAGTCTCTATGAATGCAATCTAACATTTCTAACAACACCTAGCCACCAAAACACTTGTCAATAGTACTTACTTTCACACTATTTACATCAATTTACACACTAAACTTGTTTCATAGCTTCCATCCAACTTTACGTCAGTCTAACTGAAACTAATTTGAAGTTGTCACCGTGTCGCATGATAGTTGCTAGCAGTGCTAATGTCAGTGTTTAGAACATGCGCAATGTCAACTTTACCACATTTTATACTTGTGATTGCATCCTATTGCAGCCTATTGCAGTCATTTTATGGCTGAAGCCGGTAAACGAGCAGACGGATCACCTGATGGTAAGCAATTAGCGTCGCCCATGCACACCTGAAACACCAGAGGCGTTACAAGTGCGTTACCGGCCTTTTGGGGATTAGGAGTTTGAGGATCGTTGGGGAATCAGGAGTTGGGGAGTTTGGGGAAGGGGAGGGTAATTGAGCCTCCGGTAACCTCACTCACACGACGAAACACAACGCAAGCGTTGCTTCACGTCGGTTTTCTGTGAGGCCTGGGAACACTCCGGTCGAGCCGGCCCATTCGTGCCGGAGCATGGCTCTCCCACACTTAAAATCTGTGTTATTCTTTGATTGCATTAAACTTGTGGAATGTTTTGTTTTTTGGAATATTTATTGGTTTTTATATCTTTATATATTTATTCGTTGATGTGCAAGAGAGCCTTGTGTTTCAATCTGTGTACACGTGGAACGAAGAATTTACAACATTACAATCTTTATTTCATGTCTATCAGGATTTTTTTATGACCACAGGTTGCAATATTATTTGCTTGTAGAGATATTGAGTATATTCAGAATCAAATACTTTGAAATTATTGAATTCAATAATACTTTACCTGTGTCACATGCACTCTGGCAGGCAAAGTTCCCTTCGTAAATATTTGTCAATTTAATAAATTATTCTGAAATGCCTCTTTGGCCGAGTGGTCGCAAGTGCGAGTGCCGGGCAAGGGGTCGCGGGTTCGATTCCCGGGTCAGGCAAAGTATTACTGGCTTTTAAAAATCTCAGTAGTAGCACGGAGTCTGGAAATGTGCCCGGTATATGGCAATAGGGTCACCCCCTATTACATGGGACTCATCATAAATAGTGAAAAGTGGGTGTTAATGTGCACATCTGCCTACCCCTTCGGGGAAAAAAGGCGTGATGTTGTGTTATGTATTCAGAAGTGCCTCTAATATATTAAATGTATGCCAAGATGACCGTCTCTCGAATATGTAGACGAGACCAAACTCGGTATTTACCCCTTTAAGTTACGTAGTCCGCTTCAATGAACCAATAAATTAATCATAACTTACAGAACTGTCTGCATCCCACATTTCAAAGTTTCTGCTTACATAACACACAATTTTCATCCTAATAACTAGTTGTATAAGGTTACTTTTAATTATACGAGACCGCTTAATTATCGTCTTGAAATGCTGTGGACCGAATACGTTGGTAACTACTTAATACCTTCACCTCCATGTTTAGAACTTGTCATACATTACGATATACGTGAGGATGTATGTTACAATTTGCTTATCTAAATGGTTTTATTTGAATTACCTACGCTAAAGATTTATATGTGATCGTACATGGTATAGTGCTTCTTTCATTCATTCATTCATCATCAGTCATCATCATCAACAGCCTTTGTAGGCTGTTGATAGGATTCCTCTTCTCACACGGATAAGGTTTGAGCATTAATCACCACGCTTGCTCAATGTGGGTCGGCGATTACAAACTTATAATTATTATATATAGAAATTATAAGCCAAGGTTTCATTACGATATTTTCCTTCACCGTTTGTTAGTGGTGTCTAAATAATCTTAGAATTGTCATTCATTCAACTCTTTATATTTCCCCTACAATCGGATCTTTAAAATCTCATTTACTTATTCTTTTTAATGTTTAACTAATATTTTTAAGACAGTCTAAGTTGTTATCAATCAGATAAGAATTTAATTGGTAATTTTCTATTATCTTTCGCTTAAAATCTGAGATTTATCTCTCCTAGCGGCCTTGGAAAACTGTCCGTATCAGTTAGGGCGAACGACTTTTAGGTAAACAGCAATAGTTTCTATATGAAATGTATATTCCTAGCCGTTCTGTATAATTGAGGAAATTAACATAATCTCGTTTAAATTACTGCCGTTACTTACGTGCCATTGAACTCTACGCACTTTTAGTTTTTCGCAACCAAAGAGCATTGCTCTATCTGTTAATATATATATTTTTTATTATAAAGAGGAAAGATTTGTACCTATTTTTGTATGTTTGTATGCTTGTAATGAATAGGCTCAAAAATACTGGGCCGATTCAAAAAATTCTTTCACCAATAGAATGCTACATTCTTCCAATTTGACATAGGCTATATTTCATTTTGAAAAAAAATAGGAATCCTTGAAAAATTTGAACAATGTAACCGAAGGTGTAGAAAAATGAGTCTTAAAATGTCTTTTGTCGAATGCGCTGCCGAAACTATTAGCGATAGAACAAAATAATGTACAACAATATTAAAGAACATCATAATGTCTACAAAAAACTCCGCGGTAGCATATGTTCAACTGTTGTAGTTTTGTCACTACAACAATCCAAATTTCCAAAAATAAATAATTGTCTACCCCGTGCGAAGTCGGGACGGGCTGCTAGTCTGTTTATATTTTTATAAAACATGTGTATGTAAATACGCCAGCACGTGAACCTACCCAAAACTAGAAATTTTTACATTGGATTTTCGACTTTAAATCAGAATAATGAAGTTAAAAATTTAATAAAGAAAGTCAAGATGGTTTAGGTTGACCTGCTGCCGTCTATATCAAGTAACTGATTTATTCTTCTAACGTCCAAATATCTATCAAAATTCGAAAAACACGTTCCGACACTCACAAAGCAATGAATTAACTTGAAGATTTGTCAAACTAAGTCGAAACGTTGCTCGGATCGGAACTCATACATAAAAAAGCAAATTCTTCCTGCGTATGAATGTATTGGTATAAATACATAAGCGTTATATGACACAGAGTGCGTAGTGAATACGATATTAGAGATCAACAGAGACTCTCGTATGCCTACTACGAGAATGGAGATGACATGTCATTTCACAAAGCTTTAGGCATAAGGTTACTTTCATAGAAAATACACTGATTGGTTTCCTATATACCGCATGTTTGTTTTAGATAAATTTTTTGGTAAGAAATAAATTAATTCTGTTTATGTCAAGGGTTAAACGTAAGTACATTTTTTTTCTGTAATGATATCTATCAAAAATGTAGCTAAATATTTTGTTTACGAGGAAATAATGTTATCTTGGTTTGTTATTCCTTTGGATGTTCCGCGAACTGAAGTCAAAATGATGGATGTATTTTTTCCAATGGGATTGATGAAAAAATGTACCTAGCAAAGTAATCATTTCAAAGAAATGTTTGAGATGTTCTATAACTACAAGTTTTATATCATGGGCAGATGATGTAATACATACCAAGAGCTTAGCACCATGTTGGTAGGTACCTTCTACCTACTACTTAAACATTTCTTTGATATTTCATTTTGGCAGGGATTGTGAAGCATTTTGTGGGCTAATTCATTCATTCAATAATACCCAGTACTTCTTGTAAAACCATTTTGTACTGCTCAGTGAGTTTTCGAGTATTATTACATCTGTCATCCTTCGTAAATGTTCATAAAGAACCTTTGGATGAAAAACACTTTGAACTTTTGTGCCAAAATACGGTCACGTGTAAAAAGATGGTATTTACCAAACCTTTGCTCGAACAGGTTTGGGTCCAGATGAGTATTAATATTCGTTTAAATATTAGCATTGTATGTAAATTAATTTTCTACTAGATAAAGATAATTTTGCGGTTTATGATCTATTGCATTGCGTTGTCATAAAGCTTTTTATAGTAGGAACTGTTACCGACACGTGTAACGCTGCTTATGTATAGTTAATTATTATGTTTTCGACTTTCTCACGTAACTGTTTTACGAGGAACTCGACTAGTTTCAAGCCATGATAGAGGCTCATATTCATGAGCAGCATTCCGCGACCCGCGGTCCGCGACGCGTCGACTGTCGCGCTGCTACAAGCATGGCTTGAAACTAGACGAGTTCCTTGTCAAACAGTTACGCGAGTAAGCCAAAAACATAATAATTAATTAGTATGTATCACGAAAGTTTTATTATAAACTTATGTATAGTGTTTTAATAAAGTAATTATTAAGAAATAGAGAAATTCCGTTTCTTAATAATTATCAAGTCTCTGTCCGCGACGATACCTGCCTACAGATGCCACTGTAGAAAATCGTTCTAAACTCTGACAACCCATTTTACCATGCCCACGAATGCCTTTCGTCCAGTCCCATGGGTAAAAGAAAATAAAATCACAATCTACACAAAGAAAATAATTACCATCACATAAAAGAAATTATAAGCGCCAACATCTTGATCACCCATAAGATATACGAGTATACAAGCTCGTAATTTAGAGATGAAATAAATAAGTGTTAAAATCTGCTAATGGTTCTCTCCAAATAAGAGGTCGCGTGACTTGGATCGTTTCCAATACTCGTTGGAAAGGAGCCAATTGAAACCTCTCACTTAGTCCTGCGGTAATGGCAAGGACGCCATTCGATCCGAACGATTCGATGGTCGGTCAGCTGACCCATTGTTCTTGTGTCCAAGAAAATGCTAAGACTAGCAACATGTGACTATCATGATTGATCGGCGATTTTGAACTCTTTTATCGAAGTAATAGAAATAATTTTAGCGAAGTACTTGACAAGCCATGTTTGTTTGACCGATAAATATCGAAAATACGATTGAAGGGCGTGAATAGTTTAATAGTTTTCAAGTGTAAAGCAAAGTTGTATTGTTTCTTTTTATTCAAATACATTACCTATACCTACCTATAGGACCCTATACCTATAAGACCTCTGCTTTAGGTAAAAGGTTAAAGATGTGTATAGAGGTAAATGATTACATTAACATACTATGTATTTACTCTTACTTTAAACATAAACAAAATCTTAATATATCAATCATCTGTTCGGAGAAAAGCAGAGCTTTTGTTCACGATAATATTTGTGGTCGATATTAAGTCTTCTCAACAAGCCAATAGAAAGCATGAATAAATCCTTCGAGACAAGGATTCTTAGAATAGATGGAAGTCAGCACGGAAACTTCATTTTAAACGTAGACTTTTCTTAGAAATTTTCTTTATCGTGATCTAATAAACATTACCCACATAAATGTTGCAACTAAGACTTATCCCCGATAAAACATTCCAATTTAGAACACATCAAGTTATAAAATCCAGTTTATCATAGTCTCAAATTCAATGAACTTTCAGCAGATTCAAAGATCAGTTCATACTGGTTATGTATGGCTTGATGTGTAACCGTGTATATGCAATTCCTTTGTAAGGAAATTACTTGTGCATTCTCACATCGTTATAAAAGAATTCAAGATAAATTGTATTGTAAGATAATGTTAAGCTTTCTTTGTTTTATTCTGCATTTGTACGCTTTACTACAAAGGGCAATTGAGACAAAGTTAGTTCTATATCAACATATATTTCGGGGCGTCGACCTAAATAATTAAATTCAACAAAAAGTAACAACGAATTTTATGTAAAAACATAATGTTTTATGAGTTTTTCTTCAAGTTTTTTACGATAATATCAACAATTGGAACAGTGTGCTTTCATTTCAATTGCAGTGCAGACCAAATTTTATTTTAAACAAATCATACTAAAGATTAATTTCCAACGTACTAACATTCTATTTATCATAGAGGTTCTTTCGATACTTACCTGTACTTCCAAAAGCCTTTAATCTAAAAACGAAATAGAATACGGTATTCACCGCCTAAATAAGGCCCTAAATGGGTTTTTAATTAGTCAGGTAAAAGGTAATTTAATAGCGGGCACGCACTTAGCCATATTATGTACCTAACTACCTCAGTATATTAAAAGCCTGTCTCTTTACATTTTAGACTTTGTGGTAACCTTTATAAAGTTTTTACTTTATGTTTGAAGTACCTATAAAAGTAATGTCCACAGTTTTTATTCGGATTTTAGGTCGAGTGACAACAGAACTGTATAAAGCAAGGTGACTCGGACGCGATTTTTTGGGGTCGCACAAACATATACTGGTTTCATAACATATTCAAGAGATTTTTTTTAAAAACGTTGCCCTACACTAGGATTTTCTCCTGTATCGTGAGTGCGTTTACAAACATATAAGTTCACATATCCTCGCACTATCTGTACTTCAGGCTCATTTAGTCTTTTATCGAATGTGCCTACATAATATGGTTCTGGTTCAACTTCAAGTCTTCGAGCAACCAATTCCTATCAGTCTCATATTGAAGGTGAAATGTGTTAATAATGTATGTTTTTTTCTGCATCTCCGAGAATCAAAGTCTCTTATAACGTGTTTTATTACAAAATATCTCTGTTATTTCAAGAGTAAAGGAAATAGAGTATGTATCATAGACTTATTTTCCGCGTCAACAGTAAACTTGAAGGAGGTTATGGTGGTCGTAAACTGGTTTACAACTTTACAGTGTAAACTCGAACGCAAGCGATATTTTTATATATTAAAACCCTTGGGAATTATACATTTGTGTACTTCTGTTACATTTTGAGAGATCAAACTGTTATATAATATTAGGTTTATTTTTTTTATGGAATAGGAGGCAAACGAGCAGTCGGATCACCTGATGGTAAGCGATTAGCGCCGCCCATGGACACCCGCAACACCAGAGGAGTCATAGGTGCGTTGCCGGCCTCAGTGGAGGTTATTAGTTTGGATTAATTGGTTGAGTGTTCTTTCTCTGAGTTCATAGACGTTATTTAATTGTGAATTAAAAAAAGAAAGTAGCAGCATTTTTTTTAATTCTACCTGCATAATCTGCAAATACATTTATTTATTCTTTGGACATAACAAAAGTCTCAGTCTATGTATAAAAATCGCAATAATCAAGCCTTTTATTGCAAAAACATAAATATTTCTAAGAACACGGAGAACTAAGCTCATGAATTTTAAGCACCTACTTAGAGGTCCGTAATTTAGGTGTCGCGAGGGTCGTCCCTCACCTTACACGGTCCTGGTCAACTTTACTGCGTCGTTAGGTAGGACCGGATAACCGGACACTGTCGGCAAATATATACATCTTATTAGACATTCTTGCGGATAGGTACCTCTTTAGTTTTATGTATCACACTTATCCTGTAAGAGAAAAGGTCTTTGACCTTTGGGATATTGTGAGATATGAACCGTCGGTTGCTTGGTTTCAACAATAAACCTATAGCTAAAACTGCGACCCCTAAAAAGAAGAAAATGAGGATATAGAACATGTTACAGATCGAGGGATCCCTTTTTTTAAGAGGAGAAAATCATCCCGTATCCGGCATCACGCACACCGCCTCCTCCTTGGTTAGCATGTCTATTCCGCAGACGGAGGAGACGGCATCCTATTTGCTCGGGCACCATGGCCAGACCCAGAGATTGAGAGATACCTACTCAAGTCATTTTCTACCGTTAATACAAGTCGTTTATCACCCAAAGGATTTGAACAATCCTCTCTTCTCAAAAAGTAGGCTCGTTGTTTACTCTAGTGGCCGTTTTCTAGTTGATTACAATGAAAGCACGTTCCTACAAAAATCGCAAACAAACCGATATTAATTTGCCAACTTAAAATTCACAGTGTCACCACTTTTTTTCACAGAAGTAAGGGATACGAAATCCTGCGTAGGTAATTGGTTTTCGACACAAATACGCAATAAGTTACCCATGAAAGTTTATGTGAGCATCGTGATCCGAATACGTGGAAAGGGCTCCTAGTCTGATGCGCCCAAGTAAGTGTTATCACCAACCCTGAATAACAAAGCCACCTCTATAGACACGCGCCAACACTTACGCAGGTCTTGAAGATAGATAGTACGTGGCTTATTTACGATTTCCTTCCTCAGATATTTGTTTGTTTATACATGGTAGCCTGAAGACGAGGTTCAAACGTGATATATGAGTTCGATAATGCACTACTATAAATAGACGTAGGTACAAAAGATTTGTAGGTACATGGGTACTAGATGTCTTTACCTAGTTGGATGGTTGGTTGGTTTATTCAGGATTATTCTTTCATTTGTTAGTAACCATATTAATTACAAAATTAAGTTCGTCAGACCAGCAAGAGAATAGGGCTCAGTGTATAGAAATGAAAAACGAAAAATAAATATAGCATGAATGCCTAGCTGAATTCCAACACCTACAGCTAGCTTTTACGTAGATTCTCAAAAAGTTTGTGCTTCAAACCAGTCGGAGTTTTTTTATTTGTATATCTACATGCAAACGTTCAGCATACACCAACAGATTGTTCGTCAGCCATCCAATTCTTTCCAAAAACCTTTTTTTTCATGGCATAAGCCGATAAACGAGCAGACGGATCACCTGATGGTAAGCAATCGGCGTCGCCCATGAACACCTGGAACACCAGAGGCGTTACAAGTACGTTACCGGCCTTTTGGGGATTAGGAGTTTGAGGATCATTGGGGATTAAGGAATTGGGGAGATTGGGGAAGGGGAGGGTAATTGGACCTCCGGTAACCTCACTCACACGACGAAACACAACGCAAGCGTTGCTTCACGTCGGTTTTCTGTGAGGCCGTGGTATCACTCCGGTCGAGACGGCCCATTCGTGCCGAAGCATGGCTCTCCCACACTTAAAATAGCTTAACTTTTACGATTTCCTCGCAAAGCAAACTATTTACCCTATGTTTGTCTTACAATTCCTATAAAGAACTTAATACTAACGGTATAAAATAAAATACGCGAACCACAAATCCGTGTCATAAATAAACAAAAATAATTGTGTGCGCTTACTTTGTTACCGGTGGTTATATTTTACCGTATTCTGCCATCTAATCTCATAATTCTCTCTCATAATCTCAGTGGCCCTTACTCATAATGAGAAGATTAAAAATTCCCCCTGTAGTAATTGCTTAAACACTTGAACCAGATTTTCTTTAAACGTCATTTTGGTTTTGAATTAGCTGAGTGTGTTTATAAATTTATTTATTTATTTACTTACTTACTTACATTTACCATTACAGGATGACCCAATGCGATAAATGCGAACTATTTAATCCTAACTTATTACTTATAACTAACTAGCTTTTACTCGCGGCTTCGCTCGCGTCACAAAAGGATAAAAAGCCAATGTGACATAAACCAATACACACAGCGCCATCTATACCAATACTTTTGTTTTCCCTCGGGAATATAAAATTTTTCAGGGATAAAAAGTACCCTATTATTTAATCCGGACTTCTAACTTTACGTCTGCAAAATTTCAAAGCAATCGGTTTAGTAGTTACGGCGTTAAAGTGGAACAAACAAACAAACAAACACACTCACTTTCCGATTTATAATATAAGTAAGGAAAGTAAGGATTACAATCAAAGCATTCCTTGTAAATTCACTCAGAGAACAGTAGAATAGGTCCGTCTTACTCGCTATTAGGTTGAGCACGCGGAGCGTACACGTCAGTCGTGCCTCCTTTAGAAGGTTAGTCCGAGAACGCGATTCCACCGTGATAGTGAATATCATATATTCACTATCACCAAATCCAAATGACGACCATTACAGTTTTTCACTATGTTACACTGAGTGAATTCACAGAAAGTTTTGTAGTATTCATAATAATTCTTTATGGTTACAGAACACGAGTACAAGGTAAATTGCATAAATCACATATTCATTCGGAACTATGGGTGACATGTGTAAAAGTACAAAATGAAACGACATTAAGGAAAAAACACATCAAAATGTATGATTAGTTTAGCTTTCAAAGGAATTTCGAAGAAATGTGAAAGAAAAGTGTAATTACAATTCAGATCGTATTGATTATCGCTGCTTACCAATGACAGACAGATGTATGTACAAGAGTTTTACTTCTATAAACAGGGTGACGTAACTATTTAATTTTATTAAAATTATTCCCAGTAAATTCAATACAGTACGATTCATTGAAATACACTTTTAAAATAACATCTGTACCTACATATTTATTCTCAGCTCCAATAATGCGAAAATTTCATTTTCATATTGAATTCTCAATGTAATAACGAAGTACGTGTTTCTCAAAAGATTTTGAATACAACGTCTTTCGAATTAGGTAACAACACTACGTACATATCTTTGAAAGAATTTTCTTTACATTCATCTACGGAGATATATATCTCTTAAAGTTATAATTCTACAAAGAATTATAATAATTTTATTTGTAATTTGAACACGTTTAGCTTAAAGAATTATGTTCTAAACAGATTTTAATAGGGGCCACGTATTTTAAAGTCGAGTTGTTAAAACTTGATGGATTTAATGTCATGACAAGTCTAAAAGTCGTTGAACTTTAGGTGGGACTAGAGGTCAGAACATAAACTCTCATGCGTACATATTCAAAGGACTATTTGTTTTGTGTGCTCATTACCAAAAATGGGCACTTAAACGGTGTCTGTGCTTAAGTTAATTCAAGGTGAGTCCAAAGGGTTCAAATATGACGCACATTATCAAATCATGAACCTTGTTATAAACAATTAATTTTTTTCTTATTTTTTTCTTTTGAAAACGTTGCCCCACACTAGGATTTTCTCCTGTGTCATGGGTGCGTTTACAAACATATAAGTTCATATACTCATGATACCCAGACCAGAAACAACAATTTGTGGATAACACAAACAGTTGATCCGTGCGGGAATCGAACCCGCTGTACACTGCGCGGCAGCTGGTCGCCCAGCCACCACGCCAGCTGTGCAGTCTACACATTATATCAATGTAGTTTTTGGCATTACAATCTAAGTCAGCTCTTGTAGTGTTCAACTACTATTAAAATAACAATTACTTTTGCTTAATCAAAATCAGGACTATTAACATGTAAACAGATTTTACTAAAATCGGTTTACGTTGTAGGTTGTAGGCATACCATTATAGTAGACTGGGTTTTCGGAACAAAAGCTGTTACCTCACAAGTCACCTACGTCAGGTCCAGCAATGTTATGTCATGCATAACACGACGGGCCTGCAAAATATTCTAAACGAGATTGTGGAACGAGCGGTCATACTCTATTGTGCCACAAACTGCGGCCCAAGCTTCGGTCCGATCGGTTTAAATGTATCAAAGGTTACCTACATGTGTTTTTTGTTCTGTTACAAGTTAAAATAAAATAGTAACTACAGGATAGTGCTGTGTTTTGTTCTCGATAACAGTTATATTTTTAAGTGTGGGAGAGCTATGCTTCGGCACGAATGGGCCGGCTCGACTGGAGTGATACCACGGCCTCACAGAAAACCGATGAAGCAACGCTTGCGTTGTGTTTCTTTGTGTGAGTGAGGTTACCGGACGCCCAAACCCCCCCCCCCACAATCTCCCCAATCCTTGAAGAACAATCCTCAACAATCCTCAAACTCCTAATTCCCAAAAGGCTGTTATCGCACTTGTAACGTCTCTGGTGTTCTAGGTGTCCATGGGCGATGCCGATTGCTTACCATCAGGCGATGCGTCTGCTCGTTTACCGGCTTATGCACTAAAAAATAATTTTGCCTAAAAATTTTAATTTTCTAGTCGACAATTTGGGTTGAGAATCGATTACACTGTAGTGTCTTCATGTGGCAGACCATTACTAATTGTACTACAAGGAATTTAGAAAACCAAAAGATTTTCAGTTTAGCAAAGACTATTAAGTTACTTGAAGTTTTCCTGAGATCTAGTTATCGACAGACACTTACACCAGGTACTTGAAAACATCGAAATTATGTAGATAATTACATAAGTAGGTACATTCTTCTTAAGTAATTTGTAACAGGTTAGTCCAAAATATTTCTCCCGACCTGTGTTCCGGACTTTCTTTCATTCTAAGATCTTTGTATCCAGCAGTCTTTCTTGCTATCGTTAGACTAGACATTCAAAGAAACTTTACCGTCTAAATTAAATTTAAACCTTGCGTTTCAAGTGAAGAGAAAGTTCGGGGTAGAAACGGAATATTATGAAACATGTCTTTTCGTCTTATAAAGCTTTAACTAGCTTAAAACCAAGGCTACACTAGAGGACGAAATATCGTGCGACACGTGTCGCCAGCGACGTTGGGTGAAGTAGAGCGACGTTGCCGGACTTTGCACGACATATTATCTGGCAACATCGCGTGATATGCGAATGCCTTGTAAAACAAAACTTCATGATGTCGCCAGATATGCCCGGCGTAGCACGGCGAAGTGACTTTTTGAAATGAGTACCTAGCTTCACTAACGGACAGACTGACAGACTTTTTTACATTTATTGACATTCTACCTGGTATATATTTGGTATCTACCTAAAGTACCAAATTATGGTTTAATTATAATAAATGCTTTTGAGTTTGAGTTTGAAGTTTCGCGAAGACGCACGACTTCGCCTGACGTTGCTACAGACATAAGTCGCGTGATATCGCCAGTTATTATTATGTCAGGCGAAGTTTCGCGAAGTCGCCCGATATGTCGCCGATACACGTCTTGGCACATTTCTCCCCTAGTGTATCCCAGGCCTAATACTAAAGATTAACATTGCATAGCACTATTGTAGGTATAACAAAATACTAAATGAAAGTGTGTGTACCTACATTCATTTTGTTCAATGAAATACTGAATGATGAACCCAAAATATTTTCGGTGTTACAAAGGGATATTTTGGGTCTGTAGTGTAGTGAGTTCTTTAATTTGTTGCAAATATTATTTCATGGAGATAAAAATTTAGATAATTAATATTTATGTGTAAGGAATTGTTAGATGTTTATACTGCGTCACACCATATACAAAATGAAGTCATTTTGGAAATAATATTTTCCAAAGAATCTCTGCATTTAAACTAAACTCTTTTGGGTTCAAGTTAACCGTCGTTTCCTATTTTAGTTGAAACTGTCTCAAAGCAATAAAGAGTTAATTTATAGACCATCATCGATCCCTACAATTTGAACGGACGTTCATTGTTCGGGAGTCAAAAAGTTTGCAAACAAATTGCTGCGCTTTCGTCCCCGGCTCCGTTTGATAATGGAAGCAATTTATTAAATGACCGAGACCTCCATGGAGTCGTCGTTAGGTTGCGTAAATATCCATTGTCATTTGAGAAGTCGAAAGTTGGTTTTTATTATTTTTGATGATTTTTTTTGTATTAGGGAGGTACATTAGTTTTTAAGAGTAGCTTTGATATAATATGATTGAGGATTTCACCACAGAATAGATAGAAAAGGGAATCGTACGCGTTTACGTTTCTAGTCTAGGTGTTGTGTAATTAATACGGCTAAATTGAATGAGTAATGTTAAAAAATGAAAGTCGTTTCATGATCGTCCCCTTGTATGCAGCTGCTCATAATATGTTACATTGTGATTTTCTCAAAATTTATGTAATATTTTTGTACCAA